ACAGGTGGGAGCCACCGTGCCCGGCCAGCTATACCTAATTACATGACTTTTTAAATTCTTGCTCTAGGCCTTAGAAAACACATCCATAACTTTTCACAGCCTAGGGATAGGTTAATATTCTACTTCTTCATGTAGAATATGAAAACCTTACAACCATTTTAGGCCCGTTTACCACCAACTTTCACTATTTCCTTTTTTTTTTTGAGACGGAGTCTTGCTTGTCGCCCAGGCTGGAATGGCATGATCTTGGCTCACTGCAACTGCTAGCTCCCAGGTTAAAGTGATTCTCCTACCTCAGCCTCCTGAGTAGCTGGGATTACAGGCATGCACCAGCATGCCTGGCTAATTTTTGTTATTTTTAGTAGAGACAAGGTTTCACCATGTTGGCCAGGCTGTTCCGAACTCATGACCTCAGGTGATCCGTCCGCCTCGGCCTCCCAAAGTGCTGGGATTACAGGCATGAATCACTGCACGCAGCCCCATTATTTCTTTTTATGTATCTATGTATGTATTTATTTGAGATGGAGTCTCGCTCTGTTGCCCAGGCTGGAGTGCAGTGACTCGATCTTAGCTCACTGCATCTTTCACCTCCTGGTTCGATTCTCCTGCCTCAGCCTCCCCAGTAGTTGGGATTACAGGTGCGTGCCACCACACCCAGCTAATTTTTGTATTTTTAGTAGAGACGGGGTTTCACCATGTTGGCCTGGATGGTCTCGAACTCCTGACCTCGTGATGTGCCCACTTCAGCCTCCCAAAGTTCTGGGATTACAGGTGTGAGCCACTGCACCCAGCCAACTTTGTAGTTCTTTAAGATGCGTCATTAGGTTGTTTATTTGAAGTTTTACTTTGTTTTTTTATGTAGATACTTATAGCTATAAACTTCCCTCTTAGTACTGCTTTCACTGTATCCCATAGGTTTTGGTATTTCGTGTTTCCATTATTATTTGTTTCAAGAAATTTTTCAAGACATTCTTCTTAACGTCTTCATTTTGCCACTGGTCATTCAGGAGCACACTGGGTAATTTCTGTGTGTCTGTATAGTTTCCACAGTTCCTCTTGTTATTGACTTCTAGTTTTATTCCATTGTGATCAGAGAAGATGCTTGATATTATTTCAATTTTTTTAATGTTTTAAGACTTGTTGGCCGGGCACGGTGGCTCACGCCTGTAATCCCAGCACTTTGGAAGGCCGAGGCAGGTGGATCACGAGGTCGGGGATTCAAGACCATCCTGGCTAACACGGTGAAACCCCATCTCTACTAAAAATACAAAACAAAACTAGCCAGGCATGGTGGCAGCCACCTGTAGTTCCAGCTACTTGGGAGGCTGAGGCGGGAGAATGGCGTGAATCCAGGAGGTGGAGCTTGCAGTGAGCCGAGATCGTGTCACTGCCCTCCAGCCTGGGTGACAGAGTGAGACTCCGCCTCAAAAAACAAACAAAAGACTTGTTTTGTAACTTAACATATGGTCTATCCTTGAGAATGATCCATGTGCTGAAGGAAAGAATGTGTATTCTGCAGTCATTTGATGAAATGTTTTGTAAATACCTATTAGGTCCATTTGGTCTATAATGCAGATTAAGTCCGATGTTTCTTTGTTGATTTTTCTGTCTGGAAGATCTGTCCAATGCTAAAAGTGGGGTGTTGAAGTCTCCAGCTATTATTGTATTGGGGTCTATCTCTTTCTTTATTATAATATTTGCTTTATATATCTGGGTGATCTAGTGTTGGGTGTACATATAGTTACAATTGTTATATTCTCTTGCTGAATTGACCGTTATCATTATATCATGACCCTCTTTGTCTCTTTCAGTTTTTGTCTTGAAACCTATTTCGTTGCCTGGGCATGGTGGCTCACGCCTGTAACCCCAGCACTTTAGGAGGCCAGGGTGGGTGGATCTCTGGAGGTCAGGAGTTTGAGACCAGCATGGCCAACATGGTAAGACCTCATCTCTAGCAAAAATACAACAATTAGCTGGGCGTGGTGGCAGCAGCCTGGAATCCCAGATACCTGGGAGGCTGAGGTACAATAATTGCTTGAACCTGGGAGGCAGAGGTTGCAGTGAGCCGAGATCATGCCATTGCACTCCAGCCTGGGAAACAAGAGTGAAAAAAAAAAAAAGAATTGGCCAGGCATGGTGGCTCACACCCATAATCCCACCAATTTGGGTGGCTGGGGCAGGTGGATCACTTGAGCTCAGGAGTTCAAGACCAGCCTGGGCAACATGGGGAAACCCCATCTCTACAAAAAAAAATACAAAAATTAGCTGGGCATGATGGCACGTGCCTGTGGTCCAAGCTTCTCGGGAGGCTAAGGGTAGGAGGACCACTTTAGGCCGGGAGGTTGCAGTGAGCCATGATCTCGCCACTACACTCCAGCCTGGGTAACAAAGTGAGACCCTGTCTCAAAAAAAAAAAAAAAAAAACTCAGGAATAAAGGAATGGCTACTGGCTGGGCGCGGTGGCTCAAGCCTGTAATCCCAGCACTTTGGGAGGCCGAGACGGGCGGATCACGAGGTCAGGAGATCGAGACCATCCTGGCTAACCCGGTGAAACCCCGTCTCTACTAAAAAATACAAAACACTAGCCTGGCGCGGTGGCGGCGCCTGTAGTCCCAGCTACTCGGGAGGCTGAGGCAGGAGAATGGCGTGAACCCGGGAGGCGGAGCTTGCAGTGAGCTGAGATCCGGCCACTGCACACCAGCCTGGGCGACAGAGCGAGACTCCGTCTCAAAAAAAAAAAAAAAAAAAAATGGCTACTCCATAGGCAGAGAGCAGCAACACGGGCTGCTTGACTAAGAATACTTATAATTATTTCTTGATTTTATGTGAAACAAGGGGTGGATTATTCATGCCTTCCCTGGAAAGAGGAGGGCGATTCCCATACTGAGGGTTCCTTCCCCTTTTAGACCATATAGAGTAACTTCCTCACATTGCCATGGCATCTGTAAACTGTCAAGGCCTGGTGGGAGTATCTTTTAGCAGGCTAACGCATTATATTTAGCATATAACAAGCAGTGAGGAGAGGTCACTTTAGTCGCCATCTTGGTTTTGATGGGATTTGGCCGGCTTCTTTGCTGCATGCTGTTTTATCAGCAAGAGGTCACTTTAGTCGCCATCTTGGTTTTGATGGGATTTGGCCGGCTTCTTTGCTGCATGCTGTTTTATCAGCAAGGTCTTTGTGACCTATAACTTGTGTTGACCTCCTATCTCATCCTGTGATTAAGAATGCCTAACCTTCTGGGAATGCAGCCCAGTAGGTCTCAGACTTATTTTACCCAGCCCTATTCAAGGAGTTGCTCTGGTTCAAATGCCTCTGACAACTGCACTCTCCATTCAGTAGCCTGAGTAATCTGTTTTTCTAATTAACGCGTGACTTACATAAAGTACACAAATCTTAAGTATATGAATTCTAGATATACACCCATGTAACCACCACTCACATCAGGATACTAAATAATCCTTTTTAAAATTTTATTTCAAGTCATGACATTTCTCTGATTTAAATCATTCCATACTTTCCCAATCCCCTTGAGACAAAATCCAAACACCTCCTAAACCTGGTTACACAGTCTCACATGATCCAGCCCCTATCTCTCAGGATTCATCCTGTACCACCCTTCCCTCCCCTGCCCTCACCATATTGCAGCAATCCCATCTGCGCATCCTGTCTTCTCCTAAACCTCTTCAGAAGACATTCCCAGTGCTGGCAGCTTATAATTTAGATCTCCGTCTGAATGTCACTTCCTCAGAGGTCTCCTCTGACAGGCAATCTAAAGTTGCACCCAATCACTTTTCATTACACCACCTTGTTTTAAGTACTCACAGAATACTTGTTGTAATATTTTATTTATTAGTTGCTTATATATCTGTCCTTCCCCCACTAGAATATAACCCCTTTTGGGACAGTTCTATTCCATGTTGTACCCACAAATGTCTGTGCCTGGCACACGGTGAGCAACAAAAATTTTCATTGAATGAATGAAATGGAACATCAGCTAGGGGAAGCATGAATAGCCCTAGTCTCAGAAATCCTGAAGGCCTAAATTTGACTAAACCTAGTCAGTAAATTGGAGCATTAAATGAGGTAAAAGCCCATGGGAATTAAGTCTTCAGCATTTGTTACCTTCTTATTCCGTCTGAACATGCCTCATTAAAGCCATTCTTACACAAGACGCTCGATTTGTTTTGCCTTTACAAAAAGTAATTTGAAAACAAACTCTGGCCGGGAGCAGTGACTCACGCCTGTAATCCCGGCACTGTGGGAGGCCACGGAGGGAGGAATGTTTGAGCCCAGGAGTTCGAGACCAGTCCGGGCGACATAGGGAGATACAGCGCCCCCTCAACGCCCGCCACTCTGTCTCCACACAAAAACTTTTTTTAATTAGCTGGTCCTGGAGGCGCTCGCCTGTGGTCCCAGCTGCTCGGGAGGCTGAAGTGGAAGGACCGCTTGAGCCCCGGAGGTTGAGGCTGCCGTGAACCGAGATCGCGCCACTACACTCCAGCTTGGGCGACAGGGCGAGACCCTGTCTCAAAAAATAAAAATAAATAAAAATAAACAGTAATTTCTGATGTGGCTTTTAAAAACTAGGCCGGTCGCGGTGGCTCACGCCTGTAATTCCAGCATTTTGGGAGGCCGAGGCGGTGGACAGCCTGAGGTCAGGAGTTCAAGACCAGCATGGCCAACATGGTGAAATACCGTTTCTACTAAAAATACAAAAAAACTAGCAGCGAATAGTGGCGGGCGCCTGTAATCCCAGCTACTCCGGAGGCTGAGGCAGGAGAATCGCTTGAACCTGAGAGGCGAGGGTTGCGGTGAGCCGAGGTCGCGCGCGCCATTGCACTGCAGCCTGGGCAACAAGAGCGAAACTCCGTCTCAAAAAAAAAGGCACGTTAAACTCAGACTCTTCCCTTTCAGAACATCCATTTCGCCACACCCATCACCGGCTCCGTGCAGAGTAAGCGGAACCAGCAGCGAAGCCCCACCCTTCCCGTCACTCTTCCGGCAGGAAGTCTATGCATCACGAGGCCAGCCAGGGCTCAACCCCAGCCCCGCGCCCGCGTGTAGCCCTACGTAAAGCGTGAGGGGTTTCGCGACAACCCAGGCCCCACCCCTTTGGCCACATGTCGCGCATGTCTTCCCGTCGGAAGCCGTGCCACCTCGCCGCGCAGCTTTACGAACCTAGAGCAACGCCGCCCCGCCTCCTGTCTCCGTCCTCACCTCCCCGCCCCCTCCCAGCTTCGAGTCTGCTAGCCCGACGCGCCCGCTATAATCACGTGATTGCCTCATCCGGGTCCTTTGCGTTCTCTTTCCCTCTCCCAACATGGCGGCCTCAGGTGAGCGAGCAGCCGAGCGCGGCCAAGGACTGGGCTCGGAAGCCCCCCTCCGAGCGTGATCCACTGATTTCCTGAAGTCGGGGAACTGCTGGCACCGGTTCCTTTATGAATTGAGGGCTGCGGCAGGCTGGCGGCGTAGCCCTGTTAGGTTACTACCTCGGGATGTTTGAGGGGGAGGGGAAGGTGTCCTTCCCCTCCCCCCCACACTCTTTTCACCCTTTCTGCGCGAGATTGGAATAGGCAGTAATGGTGGACTCTGGCTTGAATTGGAGAAGGAGGCGCAGAAAGGTGTGCGGGTGGTGCGAGGCCTTTTCGTAGATGTGAAGCACCGTGCCCACGTGAAGGCGTGGAGGAAGGAAGGAGGCGGTTGCTGCGCGGACGAGTGCCCATTAGGCTACGTCTCCAAGGCGCGAGGCTGTAGCGGACCGGAGTCGGGGGCAGGGGAATAAGTGTGGGGGGAGCAGTTGGAACGCGAGCGCGAGTCGGTGGAGGGGCGGGGGAAGGCAGTGGTGCGCGTGCGCGGTGGGAGACACGAGGGTAGTGGAGACGGGCGCGCCTTCAGTCCTTGCGCTAGAGCCCAGATGGGAAGCTTTTAACGCGCCTGTGTTGCGCTCTTTTTATGTCCTTTTAGGTTGTCTCTTCCCTTTCTAGAGTGTGGCCCTGTGCCTGTATTCTTCCAAGGGTATGTGTGTTAGGCTTGGAGGTTGGTGCTATTGGGGGTGGGGAACCCAGTGTGGTGCACCCACGTGTTGAGAAGCACGGGTGTGCACCTAGATTTCCTTCTAGGCTTTTTTCTCATGCTCAGTTGGAGGCGTTTTTACTCAGCGCAGCTATATGCAAGGATCAGGTTTCTCTTCTGGCGCTTCCATGTTGGTTGAATTTGGATAGCTCCAATGGTAGATTTCAGCTTTTTTTTTTTTTTTTTGTTAAGGTAACTGTACAACTACCAGCAGGTACTTTAAGATAGTGCTTACTAGGGGCTGGAGTTGCTTACTTTATTACTAGTGACTGGAGTTGCTTACTTCTTTAGACAACCTTGGAGGTTGCCTTGCAAGTCTACTTACATATCTAATGGGCCTGTAAGAGCAGTGATGACCCAACATCTTGTAGCATTGATTTTAGTTTGGGGAATATAGTTTGTTTTCTCTGGCATGACTTTGCATTCTTGAAAACATTATTTGAACTTCTATCTCTGGGTGCTCATTTCTTACCCGGTAATTCATCATCTCTGTTACAAAGAAGCTAAGGGTTATGGTTGGCTTTGGAAAATGTTGAGAAATTTGAGGTGCATTTGAAGATCTTTCATTGGTGTAACACTTGACAGTTGACCAAGCTCTTTTGTGCATTGTTGTCTCCTTCGATCCTGAGGTACTGCAGAGAGCTGGTGGTATTTCCCAGCTGAGGAATATTATTTAAGGCCACACTGCTCTCAGCTGGCAGAGCAAGCTCATAATCTTTGAGACTCCTCAGCAACTTAAAAGTATCAAGGTGTCATCATCAGTTTAGGACGCTGCCCTAAAGCATCTGAAGTTTACAAAAATGTTCAAATTTTTTTCTCCAGTGGGCTAGTACAAGTCCTAAATATATTTTAAACTAACCATTGCTTAAAGTACTTACTTGGTCTGGATTTGCCACCTTAACAGTTTAGTATAGTAATTTAGTGAAGAAAATTTGTGTTTTCTTAACTTTTTTTTTTTTTTTAAAGAGGCGGAAGACGTGCCAGCAATTTATGTCCTTTGTTTTACCAAGTTGAGGGAAATCCAGACTGATTAAAGGGATTTACTCAGTGCCGTCCCATTTTCTTGTTCTTCCATATTTACTCCACTCCCTTGAAAACCCTCATCTCCTTTAATTCACTTCAGTAAATCTTTTTAGCTGGTACTGGTATCTGAGCACAAGTCACGTCTTTCAGTCTGCCCTTGAGGAATCTGGGGTTTATCGGATGGTTTCCCCGCCCCTCTTTTCCAGTCACATTGGCTTTGTGAAGTAACCAGTATTCCCTGATGAGGGAAATGGATGTTATGTATTCTGTGTGAAAATACATAAAACAACTTCATTATGCCTCTTTTACTGTTAAATGAGACCAAAAAATTCTTTGCAGCAATACCAGTTTCCAGTGTGATCCATTATTGACCTTCAAGAACTAAGGTAGGTCTCAGAACTAACTATAGAATGAGGATAGTTTGAATTCCTAGAAACTTGATACATTGAGCCAGTACACTTAATTTCTTGCTTTGCTTCTTAGAAAGAATTCTTCAAGGCCTGGCGCGGTGGCTCACGCCTGTAATCCCAGCACTTTGGGAGGCTGAGGCGGGCGGATCACTAGGTCAGGAGTTGGACACCAACCTGACCAACATGGTGAAACTCTGTCTCTACTAAAAATACAAAAATTAGCTGGGTGTGGTGTCGCGTGCCTGTAATCCCAGCTACTCAGGAAGCTGAGGCAGGAGAATCACTTCAACGTGAGAGGCAGAGGTTGCAGTGAATCGAAATTGTGCCACTGCACTCCAGCCTGGGCAAAAGAGCAAGACTCCATCTCAAAAAAAAAAAAAAAAAAAAAAAGTCTTAAAAATACGAAGTTTTTCATTTCTCTTAAATTTTCATTGTGACTACTTTAGTAGACTTGTTACAAGCCCGTTACCTCTTGAATCTCAGTTTCTTTATCTGGAAAGTGGCCATTATTTGTCTGCTGTCCCCTTACCTAGAGGGAATCAGATGTGTTTGATACAGTTTAACATTTAAAATGCTTTCAAATTGAGCAGGTTGCAGTAGCTCATGCCTGTAATCCCAGCACTGTGGGAAGCCGAGGTGGGCAAAACACCTGAGAACAGGAGTTCGAGACCAGCCTGGCCAACATGGTGAAACCCAGTCTCCACTAAAAATACAAAAATTAGCGGGGTGTTGGGCTGGGCACGATGGCTCACGCCTATAATCCAGGAGGCAGAGATTGCAGTAAATTGAGATTGCACCACTGCATGAACTAGCCTGCGCCAACATGGTAGAAACCGGCTGTCTCTGCTAAAAAATAACAGAACAATTAGCCAGGGCTGTGGTGGCAACGTGCGCCTGTAAAGTCCCAGCTACTCGGGAGACGGAGCCAGGAAAGAATCACTTGAACTTGGGAGACAGAGGTTGCAGTGAGTCAATGATGGTGCCACTGCCACTCCAGCCCTGGGCAACAGCAGTGATGCACTGCCCTTCAAAAAAAACAAAAAAAAAAAACCTTTGC